ATCAGAGTTTCTTCAAATGTAATCACTCGTTGCAGAGATAATAGAGTTTCAAATTGGTAGGTGCATTGTGGACCAGCCTGTACGTTTTCTGCTTAAACTGGCTTACTCCATGTCACAAGAAATTCTTCAAAAGTTCGTACTTACTCAGCTGGTTAAGAAATCCTCTGTTTTTATGGAACACAAAGTTTTGTTACTGTGGTCGTAAAATTCCGTCAGTTGACCCTGTCCTTACTTAATCGAATCCAGACCACAGTCTTAGGCCCAGTGTGCCTACGATTCATTTAATCCCACCTTCGACCTACGAATTACTCTTCTTTTCTTGTTTCCGATTGAAATTTTCTAAGCATTTCTTCATCTCTGTCATGCATGCTACATGTCTCTCCTAACTTATCTTTCTTGATTTAATTACGGTAATAATATTGATGAAGTGTGCGAACCATGAATTTTTTCCTTATGTATTTTTCTCTATTTTTTTCTTTGTCATTTTATTTGCAAGCATTTTACACATCTGCAAGCCCCATAGAGATAACGAACAGGTGAAATTATAGTTTTGAATAGGTTCTATGTTACTCCTCAAGTATTTAGGTACTGGACGTACTGATAAAACATTCTGGTCTCAATAGCAACAAATATTTTCCAAATAATATCTCTTGATGTTATCATTACTATCAACAGTTGAAACAGCAATTTAAACCTAATAATTTGCCCGCCCAAAACATAAATTCAACTTATTGATAGGCTAAAGATGGCTGTCATCTGGGATATTGAAGCTTGAAATCTCACATAAGTTGACCGACGTTTCATAGGCGCTAATTGTATGCATCATCAGGGCGGTGAGTACTGATCACTTACACCTCTGTCAGTTTATACGAGGGTATATGGTGCTATATCCAAGATGACAGCCATGTTTGTACATGCCCACCGTGAGAACCTGAAATCTTACTTTATAATTGGCTGATTAAAAAGTATTACGAAATGTCGAGTGCAAAGTTTCATGGGAAGTATTTTCTGCTTGAAGAAAAAATAAAAAATATAAAACGAGTAAAGTCTGTTTCTGTGTCACTCTTACTTCCGAGTTCCACTGCCGAAGCTCCTTTCCAGTGCTTTAAAACCTGTTCCGCTCTTCTCGCCCCGATGGAATTACTAGACTCGTGTGGCAGAAGAGGAAAAGGTTAACTGGAGTGGAGTAAGACGTAATCAGGTGCCTAACGAGCTGCAGAGATGTCCTCACCCCCGCCATCATCCCTAAGTAATCGAACTAAACTCCAGAAAGATAACCGAACCACTCACCAGTGGAACTGGATTTGCAGGCTGATAACGTATATTTTTTATCAGCAGAAAATTTTGCGTTCACGTTACGTAATGTGATCTCTGCCTGCAGTTCAAGACAATTTCCTGCTCGCAAACAGTCTTCTTCGCTTAGATGTAGGCAGGCCTGTATTTTACCAACTGAATAGCACATTAACTAACCTAAAATTAAAGATTTCTGTCTTCTGGGTTGTTGCGCTGTGTAGTCTGGTCGATGACGGAGGCAGTATGACCTCTGAAACGTTGTTAAAAATCGACCAGACTACACAGCGCAACAACTCAGAAGACAGAAATCTTCATACTCACCGTTGTGAAAACCTCAAATCTTACATAACCTAAAATTGTTTTCTCGTATAGTTGGTAGTTCGTGCCTAAGCAACTCAGTAACATATCAGGCGCTTCCTTTTTGTTCATACTAAATAAGTAAGTTGGTAACTTCGCAAGTGATAGAGTGAATAACAAGCTGAGTCCACAATACAACATTTCTCGTAGTATTATTAGTGTTTTAGACTGACTGGCTAAATAAACTATCGACTGGTAAAAGTTCACCGACGATTCAGAGGCTCTTGCTGCCTCAATCATCAGGGCCTTCGTCCTGATGATGGAAGCAGAATGCACGGCGCAACAACCCAGAAGACAGCCATCTTATTTTGTATCTGGCTGTGGGTTTTAGTAAGAGATACTGTAAACAGGAACACTCTTCGTATTCCCTTGCATTAAAGTTCGCTCCAATTCCAGGTTGTAAAAATGTGTTGGATCATTGCAATATATTCAGAATAACCTATAGTCGGAGTAGATGTTAGACGAATTATCATTCCAACATAGAAGTGATATATTTTTTTTTTAAACTTACGTTTGTACTCTTTGTCACTGACTATCCTTGTTCTTAGCTTAACATATGCATTTTTTGTCATCAGCCTAAGTAGATGAATTTGCCCTTGGCTGCATCAGCACTAACACCTTGTTACATCCTCTTCTGACGCGTGATAAATTCGCGTAAGCAACGTTTGCCGCCCGAACAGCCGGCATCTGTAAAAATGTAACATCGTGCAAGCAACTCCTGACAGTTGTGGAAATTTTAACTGGATTTGGGTGTCGGAGAACCTTGACACTTTCTCAATATATTACTGAGGTGTAAATGCTCTTACTGCACTTTCACAGTCCTCATCACACGTAGTTTATTGAGAATTTCTTTGGTATTGTTATCTTGTTTTATGCCCGTTTCTCCTTTAAACAAAAGTAACTTTAATTCTGCGTTGCAGTGGTAACCAACCTGTATGTTTTACCAGTCTCAACTTTTAATAACTCTATATTTTCCCGCTTATTGTACTTGTGGGTTTTATTTAGATTGTTTAATCGAATATCGACTACATAAGAACACAACACATAAATTTGTACTATTTTAATAAATGAAATGAAATCAGGTTATGTTTTTATAAACTATTAAAATACATCATATGTATATTAATTGTACGCTGTTTATGTTTACTGAACGGAAAAAATATTTTTAATTTTGATTAGTGTACAATTTATTATCACTACATTTCTGGTGATTATCCTCAGGCTCTTCTCGCCATTAAATTGGTGTCAACGGTAACATAGGCCTTCAAACACACTATTAATGATCGTATTGCGAACTTTTTGTAACATGTATAAGAGATGTGTGAAGGAGTAATTATGGTAACCTGTGGTAATTTTATGGCAGCTCGAAATTGATGATACCGTATTGACATTGTGGAATATAAAGGAATAACTTACCCTGTCTGGTATCGAACCCTTGTAATCCAGTAGCCAGCAACTTTACTGAACTCCACCGACTGAAAAAAAACCCTCATTTTTTAAAACGAATGGATTAAGATCCGTTTGTTATCGGATCCTCATTTCCCATAGTCTGCGGTATCTGAGAGACGTCTTACAGTTTATGCCATACCCCCTTCTCCCACACACAGACACACACTTCACTCTGTGTTCTTTGAACTCTCATCATGAAACGTAAATTACACGGAAAACTTCTGAGTTTCTGTTATAAAAGAACCAAAGCAAGAAGCTAAAATAAAAACTGAAGGAAAGAAAGTTTGGTGTATCTAACTTTGTACGTGCCAAGTTATTTCGCGTATAACCAAAGCCATTTACCTTCTTTCGTAATACGCATTTTTTTCCATAAACCTTTGAAAAGAGAAGAAAACCAGGCAGCAACAAGGTACTTAGCTTAGCATTTGAAACATTCCTTTAATCTCGCAACAGAGAAATGGAGATCATTATACAGCGAATACTTTCGTAATTTGTTCTCATCGCATAAATTTCTCAGGACGATTAAATATGCATACAATAAATCTGAGTTACCGCCTCTTCAGCCTTTTACCATTGACCAAAACTTCCCCTTTCCCAAATGTTTGCCCGCCAAACACCATCTTATAACAATATTTAACATCATCTATAGGTTCAATAAAGTGTAAAGTAGCCGGAAATCCGGGTTATGACGTATCGCGCAGTATGGCGTTGTAGGTTCTTGCATGTTCACCGACAAAAGAACCTCGAGTCTCGCGGGACAATCGATTATCACCAATAAGGGGCGTGAAATAGAAGTGAATGCGTTTTAATTTGAATGTCCTGGACACAAGATTTCACACTTCACTCGCCATACCACTGTGACATTTTACAGTTGTTTTTTTCTCCTTATTGAACAAGAATCCGCTCACTTTCCACGAGCTTATCATTTATTCTCACTCGAAATATTATGGTCTTTGTTGTTTCTGTAAAAGACTGTTGGGACTGTGCTTTTATATTTACCACAAACTTTTCTTTCCTCCCAGTTTCTTCAGTCCTCCTTACTCACTGTACGTTTGCATCTTTAATCTCTTTAATACTAGAAGACACAATTCGTAAAGAATGTGTTTACAATTTTAGTGATAACCAGACTAGAAATACCGCTCTTAACACTGCAGCGACACTTTAAAAGCCTTTGTTGTATGTGCAATGTACAGTCATTTCTTAATTTTATTTTTAATTAAGGTAATGAACTTCCATAACGAGGTTGAACTCTGCGATGATAAACAATTAGAGGCATTTATTCATGTGCAATGTTTATATTGTTGGATAAATTGTTAATATCTTTAGAGACAGGATATTTTTATGCAAAAAAGAATACTGTCTAAGATATTTTAAAATACGTTTCACTACTAAATTAAATTGTTTGAAAAGATAACATGGCTATGTGCCACACTTCATGAATTTTATGTCGTCGTTATCCGTCATGTTGCCTGTTGTTGGCTACGTTAAAATTTTGAACTACACTGACGTAAGTGAAGATGTGGTACATATCCCAAAAAGGTTTAAGGAAGGTAGTAAGCCCGAAATCCGCAATGATAATTTTGTTATATCAAGTTGTATTTTTTTCTAAACAACTATAAAATCTGCTGTCATGGAATGTTTTAATTAGTATTTTGGAAAACAAAGTAAGAAATTTACTTACACGTATATTGGTAGAAAAAGAAATCGGGAGATAGAAAAAGCCCACAACTACATGTGTACCGAATATCAAAACTACAGAGTTTTCAGTTGTTTAGAAAATGAATAATTTGACAAAGTTAACATTGCGGAGATTGAAATTACCACCTCGTCTTAAACCGAAATCGTAATTTTATTCGCCGACGATACCGAAGTAACACGCCGCGGCTTTGTTGTGTGTGCAGTGAACACGAAGCCGCTGACGTTCGACGAGGTGTACAACCAGTCAAGCCCCACCAACTGCACGGTGTACTGCGGTGGTCTCACCAACGGCCTCACAGAGGAGCTCATGCAGAAAACCTTCTCACCCTTCGGCAACATCCAGGAGATCAGAGTCTTCAAGGACAAGGGTTACGCCTTCGTAAGGTTAGTTGTAAACACCATATTAGACGCATGATTTAATGATCCTTTCTATCAAATCAGTGGGACAGGCCACAATGATTCTGTCTTCGACCACTGCGTGCTGCGACTGCACTCTTGAACGTTTGGAACTACATTGTTTTGTCCGAGCTGGTACTTGCTACGTCACATGCTAGGCTAGGAATACCTTTGCACGGCAGAAAGGCTGTTACAGGCATTCTTAATAAGAGCCGTACCAAGGTTTTTATGGTTACGACGCTGACCCCTTGGGTCTGAGTACGTCTATCTCTCGCTCTCTCTCTCTCGTATTAGCAGTAAGAAATTTCCCTCTCATCTCGTACGGCTCATTATGACGAGACAAAACGCCAGTGGACCGCGACACTTTTAACCATGTTCTAAGTATGATATTGTGGAATGTTGTGAAAATTTGTGGAGTCATTTAAATGTTCTTTTACTTCGTGAAATTTTAACGATCTCTTTACATAAGACGTTTTATTTTTGTTTAATTCTTTTTACTAAAATATCTTTAACGAATAATTTCTATTTGTAATGGAGACCCGTTGTAGTCTTCGTGGTACAAAACTGAATTTTCGTTTATAAATTCTGCTGACTCGCTTATTATCTGCTTCAATAAAATTATTGTCACGTTCAGTTTCCCAGTTATCAAATTTTACTTAAATTAGTTCAGAACTATCGGGCGGTCGAACACGATCTTGCTGTTATGCATTCATTTATGCTCTTTCCAAAATGCATATAAGGACTAATGTTGTAATATAATTTTATAGAGGTTTAGTTTGTGTTCGGGAATACACAACGAGTGCCATAGTTCCGCTGGCTATCAAGACACCAGGCCTGCATTTCAGCTAGCATGTATACCCACACACAGCACTCAACACACTTTGTATTGTGTTTACAACACGCTTGTATGTCTATTTATAGCCAGCGAACCTTTGTTTTCGCACTTATTTTTTTTAAATTCCGGATAAAACAAGTAATTCTCTGTTTTATTCATTTCGACTGGTTTGAATCGTGGTGAGCGTCCGTGTTCGTTCGGGCAATCATTTTTTTTTGTTCTGTCAGATGCTGGTACATAGATTGACAGGCGTACAAACCAGACCTTGTAATGAAGTCGGATTGGTGTCAATTTACAATGTATAGCTTTACAACACAATTGAACTAATTACACAAGGATTTTAATGTGATTTTTAAAAGCTACATACATATAATACAAACGGTTATATCAATAACAATAGAGACTACAATACAATGCATTCTCCCTCCCCACTCCAAATACCACATACAAGTATTCTCCCTGGATAAATCACTAGAACGAATGACTCGTTCACAAAATGTAATTTCATTCGGCCCTCGATACGTTTCCAAACGTATTTAGCCTCGTCTGTTCACTACTGGTTCTTTGAAGCCGTAGTTTCAACTCTCTCCATGCTATGCACGAGATATCTCTCGTAAAAAGCGTAACCCTTCTAACTGTTCCTCATTATTCATCATGAATTGTACGGATTTGGCAACTTGATGCCTGTACCGACTTTCCTGCGCATTTTCTGACATTGGATTTAAAATATTCACAGGTGCATCTGACACTAGATATCCTCCGTGTTCCATAATGTGCCCTATGAATACTCCAATCTGGAATACTATTTATTTATTTATAGTTTATTTAATGACGTTTGTGCAGTAACTCAGACTATATAGCGTCGATCTGGAGTAATGTGTAATTATAAATTATATTCATAATATTTTGTTGGTTACTTTATATAACAATGCTTCATCAATCGCCTTGGTTTATTATTTCGAATGGATGATTTTGTTGTTAATGATGAATGAGAAAGTCTTCTTGAATGCAGCGACGTGCATCAAGATTGCCGTCTTTTAGGTTGTTGTGTCGTGCAGTATGCTAGAATATCACAGACGTTTCATAGGTGCTTACTGCCTCCATCTTAAAGGTGATTCGCCTTGATGATGGAGACAGCAGAGTCTAATGAAAGGTTGATAAACTACCAGACTATACGGCGCAACAACCCAGAAGACAGCCATCTTCATACTTTAAGCCGTGAGAATGTGAAATCTCACTCAACGACTATCGTCAATGAGGATATACAGACGCGGCCAGGGCAAATCATCACGGTTCCATCACGTTTGGTAGTTTTAAACTATTTGGATTGCGGGGCTATTACACTGCATACAGAAATGAGTTAGGTGGGATTTTAGGTTATCATGACCACGTGTATGAAAATAGCGGTCTTCAGGAATGATTTAGTATTCCTTTCGTATGTTTAAGGAGTTTGGGATTCAAGTAATTTTCTCAAACAGGTCAATATTTATGATGATGACCGTTTTAAAAAGCTTGCTAAGTGTGATTTGGTTTTAAGGTAAATTAGGATGAGCCGAATTACAGAGTGTAGGCTTACAATATCAGATTTTATGGAAGCCGAGTCGGTTGCTTGTTGGCACAGCTAATAATCGGCACTAATTTGTACAGTGAATAGACGTAAATTAAGGTGTCCAAATACCCTCACACGCACAGCACAGGCATTATGTTGCATACAAACATAGGTTTTAGTTGGAAGAACTTCAAAGTAAGAGTCTGTTTTGAAGGGTTCTGACGATGGTGTAATACAATAGGGGTTGTTGGGTTTTTGGACCTCGTACATCATCAGATGTTATAAAATTACACAACGTTTCGAGGACTGGATCTGTCCTCGTTTCAGGTGTGATGAATCCCAGTGAATGAGATTGACTCTTTCCAACAGACCCCACAGAGAAAGTGGCCTTCCTCCTCACCACTCCTGAACACGAGGGCAGATCCAGTCCTCGAAACGTTGTGTAATTTTATAACATCTGATGATGTACGAGGTCAAAAAATCCAACAATCCAGATTCGAAGATGAGACCTCTTGGAAGACTTAGATAAAGCGTAATAATAAAATAAATCTTATAGACAGTGCGTGAGAATTTGACTTTTAAAAACCTTGTGTTTTCTTTAAAGCAGCATATTTGTAGTTTATTGAATAGATGGGCAAGTATCAGTTTTAAAGGAATATCTTACTGCATGCGTGCAGTCGATAATTAATTTGAGATAAATTCTTTACATGAAGTTGAAATCTTTTATTATGAATCATTACAATGAAATAAGTTTCTCTGCTGCAAATGTTTTGTGAAGTTCTGGAATTGTTTTAAAACTTTCTTTCGGTATGTCCAATACATTATTTATGTAGAGAAAGCACTTTATATTTTTGGTGTAGTTTTCTGCGTTTACGCTTTGAGGTGTAAAACTTTATCTAAATAATATTTAAATATTCATTTTCTATTTATAAAAAAGGTACGACATTTAATGAAGTCTCTTCAATGTTTATTCTCAAGAACATAATATTTTCATTGCCGAGATAGCGACTCTACAGCCATCTATGGACAAAAATCAATAACGGTGCCGTATATAGCTTCCATCTCGTGGCGGAAACTGAAATCAAATGCCGAAGCTCATGAAATTGGTATGAACTGGGTCAAGCCTGGATGTTTTGCATGACAGAAAATAGAAAAATAAATTCAAGTTTCATTTATTTATCAAGGGAAGTTTGATTGTTTCCTTTCTGAAAGTATATTCTCCTTTAGTTACGCGCATATGAACTCAGAGGACACAGTTCTTCGAGATATTTCTCTTTACTGGAGCAGATCTTTCGGTATGTTTGTTTTAATATTGGTGGCATTGTTTCTAATGCAAGTGCTGAAAAGTCACGTAAATCACACGGTTTTTAATAAACTTGGGAAATAGATATTGCGATACCAATTTTTGTTTCTAAATTCAGTTCTTAAATGAAAGTTTGCCAATTTTAATCTCGTTAGGCTGTATATTAAATAGAGGGTTTTCAGAACTCTTTACTTATCTATGTGTCGGAAGAAACAATTTGATGATAAAACACTGAGAGTTTACAAATATTCATAAGTTGAGTTCGAACCTGGCTTTTTCAAATTATAAATCAACGGCAAAGATTTGTCATATTGAATATCAGCATTATCTGAAGTAGATATTAAGTAGGATGAAGGTTTTTATTCAACATTTACCTTTCTCTAGCCGTCATCAGTCCACCAGTGCTTGTCAGGCTTCATGTTTAACCCTGCCCCTTCAGCCAACTTTCTTCTTCCAGCATGAGGGAGTACTTTAAATAAGAAAATGATCTTTGCTTTATTTATTGAAATGTTTTTAAAATGTATTTAACGCCACTGATCAAGCCGATGCTTTATTTATTCACATTTTACCCAGTGACGTTAACTTCCTTGTACACGTTGTGTTTTGTCCCATAATTAAACAGTTCTGAGTTACGACGAAATATCTCGACTAGAAACAGCATTCACGTTTAATACTGCTGTAAAGAATACCCTCATTCCATCTATTGACAGTTTAGAGGAATAATTTTGTGGAATTTTATAGTATTTACGTATATTTTACTTATTGGTTGGTGTGGATGAAACCTTTAAACATTATTCGAAATTACTGAACAAAATTAGATTTGAAGATTTCTGTCTTCTGGGTTGTTACGCCGTATAGTATGGTAGATGTCCACCAACGTTTCAGAGGTCATACTGCCTCCGTCATCAGGGTACACAGCGCAACAACCCAGAAGACAGAAATCTTCATACTGACCGCTATGAAAACCTCAAATCCTACATAAAAATTAGATTTAATATTCTTTCCAGGACTTCTTTCACGGTTTTTTTATTATTTTTACACAGAAACGTAATAAAATAAACCCCCCCTTTTTTGCTTAACCCTTTAAAGGTGAAGGTCACCTAAATATTGTTTAATTATGTCCGTACCGCAAAAGAACACCTCTCTTTACGAAATTCGTCTAAGGCTGTTTAGGGATATAATTCCTGATTTCAGTGATAATCATACGAAATATAACTAAAATGCTAAATTATTGATTGTTAAAGCAGCTGGGACATATAGTTACCACTAGGCTTTAAAAGCTACAGCGCATAGTATCCTACCCATATAAAGTTTCTCGTGCATATTCTGACCCCTTTTTGCCCTGAAACTCCCCATTGTCAACAATCAGCTGTTGGTGTCGTGTTCAGAGCCCCCCCGGGTGTAGAGGAAAGAGACCATTTAATTGATGGCGATGTTTGCTGGATCGATGATTACAGATTCTCGACCAAGGAGTCAGCTACTCACGCCATTGTGGCTGTCCACAACACGGATATCAATGGTCAGACGGTGAAGTGTTCCTGGGGGAAGGAATCCGGGGATCCGAACAACGCCCAGGCAGCCGGACAGGTGAGTGAACAGGTGAATGTCCCCACTGCTCTCCTACTATTTCTTTAGAATGTACGTAACTTTCCAAGAAACTTCACTCAATTGAACTGGTGTCTCTTTTCGAATGTTTACATAAATGACATGTAAATTGTCGCAGTTTTTGACTAAAATTTCTCACGTCGGCCTTGATGTACCTCTACGTGTTTCACGCACAAGTAGAGTTTAGTTCCCTTCAGACACGTATTGTCTTTGGGGGGGGGGGCTGCCCTGTAACTTAATACAATATTAGCCTGTAAAACTTTGTCGTGTCAGTATGCAACCAAGTTTTAAAACAGGCCTCTCTGAATTTGAGCATTTGCTCCTACATAAGGAAATGGAAATGTACCACTTACGGCAAAACTGACAGCAGCGACATTATCCGTCCCATACAGACTGAAGCTCTCGATGAGTTTGGAGCTTCTTCAGTTTCATGAGTAATCCAACTTAGATTTTTGATTTTAATATATTTAAATAATTTTAAAAGCAGTTTTTCCTTTGTTTTTGTACAACTTGTTTATTTTCACGCTTTAAAGATGTGGCGTTAGCATCACACACTTCGCATCACAACGATATAACAGAAAGCATGTGTTTTCCTTGGCTCTATAGGTCTCGGAGACCCTGGCCGACTCCTTCCTTATATGAGGTTGTAGAACCATTTTCAGACAGTTGGTAGGACCCCTTGGACGAGGAGTCGGCCCGTCACAGAAAGACGATGACATACATTTATGCCTTGAGCGAGATTAAAACCCACGATCTTTGCCCTGAACCGCAGGGACACTTTAATCAGCAATTACAAGAGTTATCAAATTCTTTCTTGTATGCTACATTCTGTAGAAGATGAACCAACAAAGGAAGTCTGTTGAGCGAGAAGGCCAATGATTTGAAATGATTTATTGTTTTGTTCTAACATTCTTACTCTTTGGATTTTTGTGCGTGTTTGTCCCGTTTTAATCACGGGAACGCTTTAAAAGAGCTTGGCGTTGTTCCCGAATCAGATCTCCAGCCTAACATGGAGAGACATCTAGGAGCACAATTGTGAACAATTTTGCCGTCTGTATGCAGGCGTGGCGTGTGTATTGGAAACCTCCTATAACACGGCCGTGTGAAAAGTCCATGGTGCCGAGCTCATTGGTAAAACGGTCAAACTGTGTGCCCTGGTCTCTAATACTTTCCCAGGCTCTGTTTATGCTCGTATTATCATCAAAGTTTTCGAAAGCCGCAAACCTATTTGAGATTTTAAGTTGACGCTGTTTAACTTTTACATCGTTTAACTTCTTGAGATTAAATCTTTCCGTAATAAACTTCTGGCTTGTTCGTATGCTTACTGATAGCTTTCTCTTACTTCGCAGTCGTAACATAATTGTCAATGTCACAGTCAACTACTCTTAAATATGAGCTGTTAATTAATTAATAATAGTAATAAGTTAAATTAAGTCGCCAGTGAAATGGCTTACTGATTTCCAGCACTGATAGGTAGGTTTTTATTTTTGTATAACAAATTTTTCTCGGGCTACCAGCCGTGTAAAGTGGTTTAATGGAGAAAACACCAACGTTTCGAGAATCATCGTTGTCCTCGTCCTCAGGATACTTCATGATTTTTACAAGAATTACGAACTACATTATAATTCAGTACGAAATCCGAGCATAACGTGAAGAACAGATAATTGATATCACGTATTTTGTAAGTCACCCTATCAATTTCTTTTCCCACATCAGGTACTTTCTTCCAGTACTTGTTCTGTAATTCTCACAACAAGCAATTGACGTTGCTTATGTAATAGAGAGACAAAGTTTACGAATATACAGTATATAGAATTTAGCTCCAGCTTTTGCATGCCGTCTATCAGTCTATCAACATAATTCAACCTACTTTTCCCCCTATAAGCTGGCTGCCTGGCGAGACAGTTTAACTGATCTGTCGCAGATACGGAAAATGTTTGGATTTAGTTTCTATGGAAACGTTTGTTGATTCGGATTGATTGGCGTGACTATAGATCTCAGCTACACTGACATGAAAATTTATCGTATTTAGAGCAACAGTGGTTTGTTTGATCAGACCGTTTGCAAATGATTCTGTTCACATATCATTTGGAGTTTTGTGTTCTGATATGTTCCTTTACTCTTTATGTTTTAAATATGTCGTTTATTATTCTGGTATGCGTTTTGAGCTCACTTTCTCACTTTCCTTATTATATCTGAACGGACTTCGTGTCACATGTCCAAGTGTCCTTGACCGCGTGTGTCCTGCTATAACTTTCAACCCAATTTACTGATTTTCGTCGAACTTTATATGAACACAATGGCGGGTATTATGCAAAATTCTAAGGTGGAAGTCCCTTTATGGGGCCGTGAAATGTGATATAGTGAGGTTCTCACGGCGGTTAATACGAAGATGGCTGTCTTCTGGGTTTTAACGCCGTTTAGTCTGGTAGAAGTTTCAACGTTTCAGAGGGCCTTGAATAACTCATCGCCCTGATGATGGAGGCAGCAAGGACCTCTGAAACGTCTGTGAATTTCTACAAGGCTACACGGCACTACAAACCAGAGGATAGCCATCTTATAATAAATAATTTTTATTAGTGTTCTATGAGCCACACACACGCTTTTGGTAACTCTTTGAATTGTACACAAATAAAATGCTATTCTAAAAGAATAACCGTGAACGTATCCTCCATGGGAAAGGTTCTCTCTTCCATAATGGAAACATTAAAGCAAAATAATCTCGTTGAATGGGAATTAAATCTTGCAACACCAAATGTGTTCATATGGTGGCTGCACTTTTCAGTTTTGTGAAAGCAAATTAATTTGCATGATTGGTTGAATTTCAGACTGAAAGTATTTCTCATTGATATGCGAGGGAGAGTTTTATTAATTCCTACTAAAAATATTTACGGTCATTTACATATATTGCTTTTAAATGGAATGACCCCAGAGGATATTGCCCTTGCATTTTGCATTCAGGCTTACTTGTGAAGCCGCTCACTGAATTTTCAATCTGTTGACTGCGGCCAGGAATTCAGATAGGAAATGGAACGCCAAGTGTTTGCTGTTATACCTGAATGACTGTATGACAGTAGCCGATAAAATATACGTAGGCCCTTTATTAAGGAATTTCTATAAAAATAAAATTACGATGCCTTTTTCTCTTCATGCTTTAGTGCGCATGCATACTATAAATTTATTATTATAAATATAAGGGTTAAAATTATTACGATATATATTTTTTGCTAGTTTATGTGTATTTCGTGTTTGATTGCGATATTCACTAGATGTATATTGTACGTGTTTTACTTCAAGTAAATAACACAATATTCTACGTAATATGAAGCGAAACTACAAAATAAATATCGTAAAATATTTATTGTTAGGTCTCATACGTATTTGAATTAGCTTATTTATAATTTTAACGTAACATATTTTAATCAATTACATTGATTTTATAATAAATAAACTGTAAAAATTGGATCCAATTCTCTATTTATATGACTGTATATCTAATGTAAAACAATCCAGTACTCAAAATTTTTCATAACCACTTGATGATGGTCTTATAAGGCTGAAAAATGTAGTGGCCTTTATTCCTTCATTTAAAACCTTTTAACAGTTGTATTTTCGAAATTAGTATTGTTGTGTTTGACAAAACATTAGTGTTAACTGCTATATCGCGTCGGTCAATTCAGTAGGCGTTACGTACAGCTCATTATGATTCCTTACGCTATAGGCTTCCTGCCTTGCTGGTATTATTAGCCCCATATTTTTTGGGGTTCAAGTGTATCTTTGTGCCACCCTCATGACGAGATTCCGCTACCAGCATATCACCGATGTGGGTACATGGTGACGGTCTAACTGGGGCCGATATTTGCATTCAAATTAGCGTGTCCTGGGCATCACGTGAACTAATGTATGGAGCTCATACTTCAAAGTGGATAGTGATCACAGCAGCATACAGAACGAATGCCCGATAGATAAGGACAACCACCAACCTGGTTTTACGTTCCCCAACATGCGGACACGTATCCCCCCCTCCCCCGGACTAAACACACACACACACACAAACCTATTTCAGCTCTAAATAAAACATACAATATTAAAATAATAGATTAACACACTTGAGCAATTAAAACTGTTTCTGTTTTTGTGGTAAAATGGGACTGGTGTAATTCCTAGTGTTGGGTGTTATTTGTGATATCGTTGTTTTATAGAAACCAAACCAATGCGGAAAGAAATTATTATATTCTTTACTGCATCGCATATTTTCAGAATTTATTCACAAAGTCCCGTGCTTTTTCCTACTTAAGGCTGCCGACTGACACAGACTCTTCATAAAACATTAATTATCATAGGCGCTTTTTTCACAGAAGACGTAAAGGACGAAAGAGAACACAGGCAGAAATGAGGTGCTTAATGTGTGGATTGACTGGTTACTGACTAGCTTAGTCGTTCGTTAAGTAGGCGGATATCAGAAAGGACGTGCTATTGTTACGAGAATAAGAGAAAAGTATAAGAGTTGCAGATATATTTTTAGGAATAATTATCGCAACACAAGAATACGTCATGAAGATCAACAAATTGAAGAGATGCCTGGTACTTCCATTTTTATATACAGTAGTTTGCAAATTGTAAAATAAGGTGGATTTCAACACCTTTCATAGCCGCGATTTGGAAATTCTTAAAATGTTATCTTAAGTCGTACCTCTGGGGCTGGTACAAATAGCCAAGTCTTCAATGGAACAGATTTTGAAGAATTTCAGGGATTATGCTGAATCCATGCGACAAGTGGATCCCCGATAAATCTCGTGAAGATTCATTTAGTATTTTCGTGGATTCACAATGCCAACAGACGCAGTCTTCCAATTTTTGCACCTCGTGCAAAGCAGGTATGATGTTGGAATTAAGGAGTGTATGCTTTCTGGCTTGGCGTCACTGCCATTCTAAATCTCTGTGATAGCCCCTGACCGGAGCACAATACCCGTACGCCTACGGGCAGCAGATGGGGTACTGGTACCCACAGAGCTACCCGACCACTGCGGCAACGGCAGCTGCGGCCCAGATGCAGGGCCAATTTCTCCAGGGTATGCAGGGGTACACGTACGGGCAGTTTGGCTACCAGCAGGGGTATATGGGGTGAGTACTGCCATCTCAAGATAACTTATTGTAGTAGCAGTCAACAATTTTGTTTCAAGGTCATCACGAACAGCAGAGCCCAGGCGAAGGAAGGAAACCGTCAAGTCCTTCCATGGCCTTGAAACATGTCTTCCTGTATGACCCTGTACTGGCATTAATGTTTATTTTTTCCATTGCTATAAAATAGTACTGTATTGATAAATGAAGTTTGGTTGTATTTCGCTCAATATACACCATATAGAAAAATGTTCGAAGTAAAATTGTAGGTCTTCATGAGAACGAGACGAACCAGAAATAGTTCCATTGCGTCATCCTCAGTACTTATCTTGATGAACTGTTTTCGTTCATGGACTACATCAGCAGGATGGGGATGCAACTTCCGGCGGCTTGGCAGGGGATTCCCGGCCAGCCTCAGATACCGGCCGCCGCCCAACAGATGGCAGCAGCGGCGCAGGGGGCAGCTATGCAGCAACCCGGAGGAATGATGGCCTATCCAATGCAACAGTTTCAGGTATTGTTCTCATTTAAAATATTCAGATTTCATTCTTCTTATAACCAGTAGAATTTGTTGACTGATTTTTTTTCTAACAATTCTGGGCTGATTATGTAATTTAGACAGTTGTTTTTGCTTTGTTTATTATTGGGTGCATTTTATCTTAACAGGAAAGATATTTAGGATGCAGCATGTCTTCTAAGTCAGTAAAACTCGAGGAAGTGTTCGCTGTTTTAGGCAGGCTGTGTTTGTGTTAGTAATTAGATAATAGTATGTCTACTTTTAATTAATGTTATGTGAAAGGAAATGTTTACCATTATAAGAATTAAATTATCCTTATTACACTAAACCCTGGAATTAAAATCAAGCTAAGAATAATAGACCCATATGTTTTCTTTTATGTTTTAGAATATAAATAAATTATTAAATTTACATACACCCAAAGAATCATCTGAAGGCAGATAGTGTTAGGAACAGACGAATGAATACGAACAGCGTTTGTTTGTGTATGAAATCTCATCGAATGTTACAGGCTATGATTCATTAATCAAATTAATTAATAGAAAAGTTTTATTGTTTTAATTAATGTATTATTATCATGGGCTGATTTTTGTCTGTCTGTGTACACAGTAAAAAAAGCTTCTGCAATTATTTCCTCTCATTAATAATGGACGTATTTAATATTTAGACTTTTTATGAAAGTAACCAGAGGGCTGAGCCCTAGATACTGTAAATTTTGTTTCAGCAGTGGATTAAAAATTCTGCCTTTTCTTAACAACCTGTTATATTTGAACAAAATAATCTTCGTTGTAGCTGAGCGATACCTTGAACTTAACAAAGGCTGACTAATGATTTCACGAAGCATTGGAAGGTTTTATAAAACTGAATTTCTTAAGTTTGTTCCAGACTTTCAAGAAAGAATGTCGCTTGGCACTTATCACTTAAAATATGACGACTTGAAGGGTATTTTTATATCTTAATTTTTTGCTAGTACCCTATACGTAAGTAGCAATATGGAGGAGAAACTCATTTCAGAGTTTGGATCAGTAGGTCATAGTGCATTATAGCCACAAAATTAGAAAAACAGTGTTTCAGAAGGAAGCAATCTTGATGCCGCTAAGTCGTAAAGTTCTTAATCGTAAATTTAGTTTAAAATTTTGAATTATTATAAGTTGTAAAATTATTTAAGATTTGAGGTAGTTCTGAATTAGTTTATAGTACAATTCCGAAATAATGTCACTTTAATCGAATTACAGTGACCGCGTGCTTGTTCTTTTGTTACCGAGGACGGACGTTTATGGAAACACTTTGACGAACTGTTTAAAATTTAGTGAGATGCAAATTATCAATCTCGCTCAAATAGTTAAAATAATAAAAGAACCCAAGCATTCGACAGAATACCAAATAGATTACGCTCATATACAATACGTTCTAGTCGAAAAATGAATAAATATTTTGTCACTAAACAAAAGAAGAGATATACGTAGATTATTTAAAATGCAACTGCGGTTTTAACTAGAACTCTATAATGGATGAGAAAAACGTTTTACGTCATGATAGTTGATCTGTTCACGTAAATAAATAATATGTAGTATGGCAGTTGATTTAAGTATTGCTTGTCTCTTCTGTACATTTAGACGTGGGGTATTTCGTGTATTGGCTTTTAGTGGTGATACGTTAGACACCAGAAATCGCGAGCCCTTCGTTGTGAAAAATTGACTCTCAAGCGTAGATGTTAATTATATAAAATTAGTAGCCTGTAATATAAAATCCTTGTCTTCCAGCATTCCTCCATCTGCCCTCCTTGTATATCCTGGTTGCTATAGACCAGTGGTTTCAACCTGGGGTACGCGTACCCCCGGGGGTACGCAAAGACATCTTAGGGGGTACATGAAATTTAAAAAAAAAATTATGGTAAGCACTGAATAATCAGGGCTAGACTTAATACATTATATTTTATGTAATTTATTTAATTTATTTTAGATGTAGATTATATACTATGTATAACTTGAATTATACATCAACAACTTTGTGGGTACAAAGTTGAAGAGAAAGTATATCTGGGGGGCACGGAAACAAAAAAGGTTGAATACCACTGCTATAGACAATACAAAGCAGGGAGGTCCAACATTCTTGAACCCTCGGGCCAAGAATAGTTTTTCCATTAGATCCAAGATCCAACCTCTCCTGGCACTGTGCCTAAAAACCGGTTTGTGTCGTCTTTAGCAATATTTATTCAGAAATTAGAAATTGTTATAATCTATGCTCAAATATAAGTTGCGCCTCCGTGGCGTATAGCGGGATCCCTTCTTTTACAGTTTATCTTGTGTAAAACGGGATCCGTAAATCGTTTTTAACAAACCCCGACGAATGTGTTATTAATTTCGTCTGGTAATATCATTTCTGGAGGTTTATCCAACATTTGAATCTGTAGAAATAATTTAGAGTTGGTAGTTATGAGGTCGTGAATTATGTCCAGTGCTGTACAACCGCGCTGTTCAGGTTCAGTAGCGGTGTCATTATATCATGGATGACTGGTCTTGCATCACGCCAGACAGGCAGAACCGGACCGATGTCACTACACGAGATAACCTTCTGCTCCTGCGAATGGCGAAGGGTTTGTGACCCGTTTAATAGGACTCGAAAGGCAAACTCAGTCGAAAGGGAACGTCAGTATATATTATGTTTTAATATTATTTAAACAAGCATCAAGAAGAGTAATGCAAAAGCACCAGTAATGGTTTATTCACCGACCACTTTTCTTTTGTAGCTTAAGCCAGGTAACTGTTGAAATAGGACACTGGCTCTTCTAACCTAACATAATCTGACAATCTAACATAACCTAACTTAACCTAGCCTGAAAATAAGTGAACCGATGTGAACCGAACGTCACTGAATTGCACCAAACGGAGTTGGGTAAACAACCGTTACTGACATGTCAAATTCTTTTGGATCGTGCCCCCTTCCAAATCTCCTGCAACCACAATTCGGGGGCTGTTCACCCGAGGCACACAACACACTGCATGTGTTTTACATTTTCTTTTGTTTTTATATAATACTCGCTAATGCAGTATATTTTTATTTACATCATCGTATAATAATGTTGTATGCCTAATTAGAAATGTACGAAATTTAAAAGGCAAAACATAAACATTCTTTTAATTTGAATGTCACTATACAATATGCGTCTAAAATTATCGTATACTGTCATGTCACGTAATGAAACTATATCTTTATTTTACCAATAACGGAAAATATCGCAATTATCGTCATGTTTCGTGTTCCATTCCAATAATTCCGACGTGCTAGAGTTGGGAATGCGTCGACAGTGACAGCCACACATGACCTTCTTCAGACTCAGGATACACTGAATTTTCAGATACATTATTTCATCGCTCGTTATTTTTAAATAAACGTAATTTTCAAATTGAAGTTATCGGTACTATAACTTGACAAATGTAGCTTATACCAATAAATATGTTGGCGTTTCTGTCTTCTGGGTTGTTGCGCTGTGTAGTCTGGTCGATGTTAACCAACGTTTCAGAAGTCATACTGCCACCATCATCAGGGCGATGAAAATTTCTGTCTTCTGGGTTGTTGCGCTGTGTAGTCTGGTCGATGTTAACCAACGTTTCAGAAGTCATACTGCCACCATCATCAGGGCGATGAAAATTTCTGTCTTCTGGGTTGTTGCGCTGTGTAGTCTGGTCGATGTTAACCAACGTTTCAGAAGTCATACTGCCACCATCATCAGGGCGATGAAAATTTCTGTCTTCTGGGTTGTTGCGCTGTGTAGTCTGGTCGATGTTAACCAACGTTTCAGAAGTCATACTGCCACCATCATCAGGGCGATGAAAATTTCTGTCTTCTGGGTTGTTGCGCTGTGTAGTCTGGTCGATGTTAACCAACGTTTCAGAGGCCATACTGCCTCCGTCATCAGGGCGATTTATCGCTGTGAAAACCTCAAATCATAAATAAATATGCTGGCATTCAGAAGTTATTACTTCTTATAAGCTTTACATACATCTAACAGCACATCGAAAAATGAATGTGATCGTGTAATACGTAAAGCATAAAGGGGTAACTACTTGTTTGTGGAGCATGTTCATTTCCCGTTCTCTTGCTGCCATATTCACAGCGTTGACGTAACACACACTGTGTTGCTTGGGTAGTAAGTAGGTTGAAGACCTCACATCTTAGGAAATAATTTATTACACAGGAAAGACTTTAGGTTCAAGTTATTTACTGGATCTTCGGTATCGATAACTTACCGCCGTTGTTCGACTTCTAAATATATCGCTTTTATACACTGATCCCATGAAGGATGGAGTTGACTGAGGATCGTGGCCGGTGGCGGGCTTTGGTGTTGTCGGTGTTGGACCTGCGGGTTCTGCTACCAGAGAGTTAGTTAGTTAGTTAGTCAGTTAGTCCCCATGAAGACTGAATAAAATTTTCATACCCTGTACTGTGTCTTTTCTTCGCCCACAGAAGTCATTGACCTAGTAATTATCCATCGGTTCACTGGTGTTTGTACATCGTTATGCATTCTCAGTTTCCGCATTGCTTTTTATTCTTGGTTTATTTAACGACGCTGTCAGTATCCAAATTATGTGACGTCAAATTATAGGATGATCAGTTAAAAAGTTGAATGAAGCGGTCGTAGTGAGATTTAAATTATATCTGAAATTGGGCCCTCGATAATACAAATAAGGAATTTTAATCCTAAGCTTGGGAAACAGATAGTAGTATATTTGGGGCTGGAATTGGTAATAACGTGTAAACAGCTTTGAAACGATCGTTGAAGTAACAGGACACCTGATTTATTTCAAGGTGTACTGTTCAATAATGTGAGTCTTAACGGGGGATTACGCGGTATATAATTTACCATTCATACATTAACGCATTTTGCATAAGGAAGGTTCAGTGAATTACGTCAAGATATGCAGTGCATCTTGTGAACTTGACTTCCTGACCTTTAATGTTAATTTATCATACAGAAATATAGAAATTTTATAATTTTAGCTATCAGGTACTTTGTGCAGTAACAAATGTAGGATGAAGTTACATTTCGGAATTTAGTGCACAGTCCATCTACAATCTGCTATGTAATATATAACTGTGAATTTAACACATAACGGATAATATTAAAATTAGAATGAAGCGGCGTTTTAATTGACATTGTAGTCGTGGCGGTAACTTAAGTAATGTTTTCTTGATTTTCAATTTCGCAGTGGTTCCTTACGTTGTTCGACGTTTGTTTGGGTTTCTTGACAGTTTTACTTGTTGTTGTAATAGCGTGTGTTGCATGCATATGTCTCTTGGATTGCTCTGATTTCGTTACAGTTCCACTTTGCATGCTTTATAAAGGTTTATTAATTATTTTTACTCTTCGCATGAACATTTTTTCACTTTATATAGACACACTTCCAGCTTACGTATTAAACAGATGTTTCGAACTATTAATTTTTGTCCAAAATGGAAAAGTATTCTGTTGCACACTACCGGTCACTTTGTCCATGATAAAATTAGTTTAGCCTCCAGACATTCAGAAGGAAATTTATTGCTTGCATTCAGTATCCATGCAAAGTTAAGCAAGTTCATCATTTCATCCAGATTGATGTACAGAAAATATTAACAGAACTCATTAAATATTACTCTTATAAAGGGTTTTAACTTATTTCACAGCACAGATAATAGTAAATGACTCAGTTTGTATTAATATTATTTTTATTGCGGAAATTATTAATATTCTAAATTTAAATTTGGCCGGACCCAGTGGAACGTGAACTAAATGAAGGGTCTCTCTCTTTCTTTCAGGCACAGTGATATGCATATGCCGTCAACTCCCATCATGCCACGCACATTCTTGATACTAATACAATAGCGAGAAGGAAGATATTGCATAACGCTTAATTAATTTTAAAACTCGACACGGACCTAAAGCATTAATTATACGTACAGTAGCTTGTGAGAATAATGTTGGAGTGCAATACAATATTTTCGGATCAAAGCCATGGTTCATTTATACACAAACATTGTGCCAATTATCCCAGGTCTTGCCATATTCAAAGACAGCGCAAAATAAAATGGGAACATCCTTTTTTTTTTCCCTTTCATAGCACACGATGCGAAACATCATGTTAGGATAGTGCCAATCCGTGGCTTGCTGAAAACGCAGCTGTTTCAGTCCATCCATTTTTATTATTACACATTTAAAAGAATAAAATAATTTACGTGGTACCATCAGCAATTCAATTAACCTGTTAGAAAAGTCTTAGAAGCTTCTAAAAATATATCCTGTTTAGGTGAGAGGTTATAGCATATCCTTAATTACAGCCGGGATGAAGGGAGTAATCTGTGATAAGTGTAATAGAAGCAAAAACGTTGCTCTAATGCGAATGTCTTGCAGATATCAGTTTGCTGAAACGTAATCTGCGAAATCTTTCTACGAAGTGTTTCATTGTACCTGGGTTCCGTTATACTCCTTTATCATTGGCGAATGGGTGATCCTGCTAAAAATTTACTTTCGAATGAATTAAGGGTATGCCGAAGTTAAGAGATCTCACTTAAACACGTCTGTTGCTCAACTGCACAGCATGATACTTGTCATTTACATATTTGCAAAATCTTAGCAAGAACCCGCCGTATGCAGTCATAACATTAATCAGTAAACTCTCGGATTGCTTCAGTTGGCATTATGATTTCCGCAACATTTCTTCATGTTAATCGTGTTAGCCGTTTTAACTCGGCAAACTCTCTTAGAAGACAAAAATAAACCACAAACAAAGTACAGAAGACATTTCACTTTTTGGCTTCCAGAGTGTTAGCCGAGATAACGCGGCTGACACGTTCAAGATGAACGCTCCGCCCCTGCCTTTCTCAGAGTTTCTATTATTTATAATTTTACTTACATTTATTTGTCTGTATACTGAATAGCCAAGGGCCTTCATGCGATTAAATTGGTCTCAGATCCACCACAAATATTTGTCACAAGTTGACCTCTACCCTTCCAATACTCGTCTTTTTTCTCGCTCAGTGATCGGTTTATCGTTTATCAGTTGCAATAAATTTGTTGATGTTTTCGAGATCTTGCCAAGATTTTCTGATTTGCAGTATAATTACGCAATCAAAGCCTGACAGACGAATGTTATCAGCCCATGCAGTGAACGTAGATAACATACAACATGTAATCAGTTACATATATAATTATAAAAGAGTAAGAAGAGATTAGATTTGCTAGCATGGCCAACATTTTGTACATTTCAGAATGGCCATAGATTTTTATTAAATATATGATAATAGGTAAATAATACTAATTGGAATATGAAAATAATTCCACATAGATAACTACATTCCATTTATGAGATGTGCATATGATTTTGCCTAAAAAGAAAGGGCATCGAACCAGCATATGTTTCGTGCACTAAGTGTTCAGAGAAGTCTTATATTGTACGAGAGCCTGAAGAAGTTTATTTTTACTTCTGTGAATTGAAGGACTTATGATTTGAAGCTTTCACGGCGACGTAACTCAATAAAATATTCTCGGACGATCAGCGGCGTCAAATGGTTAAACAATAAAACCGACGTTTCAGGGACCGTCTTTGTCCCCATCATCAGGGTTCTGATGAAACGTCGATTTCATTGTTTAACCATTTGACGCGGCTGATCGCCCGAGAAGATTTTATTGAATTTAAGGACTGTCACCACAGCGCGCACACATACGAATGAAAATCCAAAAACTAACTGCATGTTTCGACTTTAGGTTATCATCAGGAGAGCCACTGCTGAATTGGTACATGCTCATGTGTTTTACGTCTTTGGCACGAATACAAAAATTTATTAGTGGCTTTCCTGTGTATTGCAACCTGGTGATGGCAAAAGGGTGACTTTTCTGGGTAAAGCTTTCTTATATCTACACGATGTGTTCACGGCTTTTCAGTTCACATAAGTAACGAGCATACAATAGGATGCACAGACTAAAGTTTATTTTTATTGGGCAAGGAAATGCATTATCTTGTGTGGTTAATCCCTGTACTTAGTTTTATCTATCCTCCCCTCCCCCAAGTTAGTGCATTGAGGGGGTTGGTGTGAAAATATTGCCATGGTCCAAATGACTCTGTTCAAAATCTCAAAACTGATCGATTTCATTCTCAGTAATAATTAAATAAGCCGCTTCGAAATGTCAGGTCTCACGGCGAAGACCTCGAAGATGGCTGCCTTCTGAGATATTGCGTCATGAAGTCTTGTAGATATTGACCGACGTTTCAGAGGTGCTTACTGAGTTCATAATCAGGTTTATCATCGCTCTGAAACGTCCGTCCATGTCTACCAGACTACACTACGCAACGTCCCCGAACGCAGCCATCTTCAGAGCCGTTTCGAAGGTGCGGATTGCGCGCTTGAAGGACCACAGTCGACTGCTTTCCGACGTGAAGCGTGTTCAAAATTGTTTGTCGCAGGTTCTCCAGGAAGGCCAGTGTGATGTTTGCTTGCGGTCGCAGAGGAGTATTTAAATGTGCGCCTACCTGCGGGAAAACGTTGAAATTGTGTAGTACGTAAATTGACCTATATTTTAAATTGTTGTTCGTCTGTAACGACATGATTGTGGAGTTAAAGGGAGAAGAAATAAAAACGAAGGCATGAGAGAAAACGTTACTAAAGGAATATAGGAACTGAAGGAAGCGGGTAATAATTCTTTTTTGATTTTCAACATGCTTTTTACACTAGTTGAAATATCAAATTACGTATTGTTACGTATCGAATGTGGGATATGACTTCGGTAGGACGGAGGTACTTTGAGCAAAATAAATTCCTAAAACACCATGTTTTATCATTGAAATTCACAAATATCGCTGTTGTCAATGGTGGTGGTTCCTTTTTACGAAATATGTCTGTGGTACCTATATTTTCTAATAAATACTTTGTGTGTTACATATATTTTTCTGTGAGGTAAGGGGCGTCACTTCAAAGTATGACCTAGAGTTTAGGTTAGTCTTTTAGAATGAGAGAAAATAGACAACTTGTGTTAAAAATGAGCATAGATGTTTTTATTGTTCTCAAGAGATACGGCCTACATGTCGGATGTTTATGAATGAAGGACAGTCTTGAGGGTGTTTGGATTAAGTTTAAAATTCATAGTATGTATAAGGAAATGCTTCCTAAAGGAGCTACATTTATAGTCTGTTAGAAGAATAGGAATAAGTGTAAGTAATTACTGCATGACAAATGGTTTCGTTTCGTTCCATCACAATCGTGCTTCTTTCCAGTATAGTATAATTTATTTCTCAATTCCGTCGCTTGTTCAGAAATTACAGTAGTTTGGCCCAAAGATTGGCAGAGTTGCTTTGGACCATGATGCACTGACTTTGGTGCCCGAGAGTGGGAAACTGTATCCGTCAGATCATCATCATCATCATCATGAAACAGACAAACATCATAGTAAAGCAAGCCTTTTTTCTCTCACCCTTCATCCCTCGACAGTTAGCTGATGACGATTGGTTAGCCCCTAGTCTACTAGTTTGATGGTAATGATGGTGCAGCCCACAAGAACCACAAGAAAATGCGTGACGTTGGGGCGTGTGCATGCCCCTTCACCACCGCATCGCCCCCTCACCCCTCCTGGGGAGCCCACGCAAGACAAGTGGAGAAGAGACGCCATTTTGCATGTCAACACATTAATACAGGACCGATCACCAGTCACAAGAAATACGCCTGAACGCCATGCAATGAAAATTGTGAACAAATTATAAAGAGTGAAGAACAATTGTTTGTCTTATATACATATATATAAAGCACTATATAAATATATCTTAGAAAACATGACGATCTGTGAAATGTAAAAAAATTGGGTGGGGCTTATTTTCATAGTATCGATTAACGTAAGGTAGCATTGTTTGCGTGTAGTTGTTAATGATGTGGGGGAAAGATGTATCGGGAAGAAGATTCTCTATAATATGTACAAAGTTCAGTGTAACGAACGAAAACAAGAACCTACCCAATGTAGTTTGTAGAGAAACACACCCTAGTTCATAGCAGGAAGGGTTCGTTGTTGGCCATCTATAAAAATACACAAAAATACCAAAAAATAGAATTAAATAACCAAGTTAGTTACTGGTAGCGTAGATTTTAAATGTAGTGTTGAAAAAAATAGAGCAATGTAACCCAATGTTCTATCTGTATCCGCCATGACATGCATACTGAGATGTCAAATCTATAATATGCAAGGGAATTCTATATTTATAAAAATGGCAAAATTCATCATAACGAAAAGTAATAATATATATCAGACAAGGACAGCTATTCATTAGAATCTAGCGTTGTTATAGCAAACAAAAGAGAATTAGCCGTAGTGACGTAGTTATTACTGGGCGGTTTGTACATAAGCTAGCGTTGCTCTTTCCCATTGCATACTTAGGTTTGACACCCCGGAAGCTACAGTGAGTATAGTGTAACATGTACACACCCTCCTAAACCCCATCCTTTCCTTTACCTCCCCCCCCCCCAAACTCCGTGGCACATTGGTAGCGGATGCCACCTTCCAGATTCACAGCGAGTTAATAGTCCGTAATGGTTTTGTGCGAGCGGTTTCACGTGTTATTTTGTTCTAGCGAGAAATAAGTGAAACTGGTGAATTTTAATGGAAAATATTAAATCCACGAAAAGGCGCGTGATTTGAGCACATAATTATCATAATTTGATACATTAATGTTGTATGTATGGTGCGGGAAATTCCTTGAGGGAATAAGAAATGTTTGAGTTATTTTTAATAATAATATTTGCATTCCAGTTTACTAAGCCACTTGTAAAAATTACTGTGAACTGCGAATATTTGTTTCGTTAAGCATACATAGAGTAAAATAAAGATAGTCTTTTATTGCAGATTTTAAGTAAATATCCCAGTTTGATATATTTGCAGATATTTTGTACGATTAGATTTTTCTTGTTTTGTATAAAGTGACTATTTTTGTTATAGATTTCAGACGAATATAGAAGCATATTTTAAGGAATTTCATAAAAATATAAGGAGCACACAAAATAAATTACGGTAGTGTGGTTATTTTAACTTTGGATCGTGCTACCAGAAGCCCCACTCTTT